GGGGCCTGCCGTGCCCACTGCCCGCGCACCCCTCCCTCCCGTCTGCGTGGTTCCCGGCATCTTGACCCCAGGAGGGCCCTCGTGGGGTCAAAAGAGCAGCCCCGTCCCCTTGGGCCTTTCCGCCGCCCTCGCCCGCCCGCCGGCTGGCCGCTGAGTCACCGCTTCCACAGGAGCCGGCTCCGATTTCCTGCCCCCTCTCCCTCTCCCGTCATTAATATTGGGGACGGTTCAGCTGGAGGCGAGGGAGCTCAGTGAGGTCCAGGAGGACCGCCCCTCGCTGGGCTCCCCGTCATCTCCTTCAGGCTTCTGTCTTCTGGGCTGGCCTGGGGGGCTCCAAGGACTCCCCCAAATCCACCTGTCCTCACCTTGCCAGGGGCAGGTCCCCCTGTTGGCCTCGGCCCAGCCCGGCGCCCCTCACTCTCTGGCTCCCACAGGGGAACCCTGGGCCCGGGGCTGCGGTTTGCTGTTCTGCTGTCAGACTCCCTGGCCAGCCAGGCCTCAGGCCCTGCACTCTCCTTTCCTAGCTGGGCCTCAGACCTTACCCCAGCTCTCCCTGAGGTCCCAGCTCAGGCTGCAGCGCCAGGCCTGTCCCCACTGCCCACCCTCCGCTTTCTAAAGCACCAGGGGGCGGTCTCCCCTGCCCTCCAGCCCAGCCCAGTTCAGAACCTGTCCCTGTGTCCTCACCACCCACTGGAGAAAGGCCACACTCCCTGGGGAGGCTCCCGGGCCTCAGGCACATGCAACGGGCAGGGCTCTGCCAGCCTCCACCCCCTCAGGCTCTGTACACGCGGTGCCCTCTTCTGGGGCTGCCTTTCCCTCTGCCCTGCGTCCTGGCTCATCCCCAGCAGCCTCTAGCTTCGCTGACCCCTCCGTCACCCGCCCACCTGGGAGCCCACAGCCCCCCACACAGCCCTCTGTTGCTCATCTGCTCACCTGGGAGCGTCTTCAGACCTACACTCCTCCTCCGAGGGCCCATTCTGTATCCTCCCCTCTGGGTTCCATTAACCTGCCCCCAAGTCCGCCCGGGCACCAGAGAAATGGAAGTATGGTTATTGCTTTCTGAGGACTGACTCGTACCCTGTAGCCAGAGTTACCCACATCTGGCCAGGGAGTCCACGCGCCCGGACCGTGCTGAGCCTCAGTGTCCTCACCTGAGAAATGGAATGATAATGCCGGCACTTCCAGGCATTGATTTGTTAAATGTTAGTTCCCTTCCCCTCGGAAACCAGATCACTCAGTCACTCCTTCGCCTGTGGGCGCCTGGGCCTCAGCTTGGGCCCCGGCTCCTTTGCAATGCCTCAATAGGACAGCTTTCTTGGGCCGTCTTGACCCGGGGTGCCAGCCTGGCCACAGCTGGGCACATCATTGGGCCCCTAACCCAGCCTTTCGGGTACTCCAGGCCCTTGGCTGTCGCTGCTCTCTCTGCTGCCTTGTACCAGCCATGTGCCCAAGCCCTGCCCCAGCCCCTGCCTGCTCAGGCAGCCCCTCCCCTCTTCCCCTCCTCTCCTCCCCTGGACCCCACATCCATCTGGCCCAGGAGGTCTGCTTCCTTTCATTCCATAAATAGTTGTTGAGTGTGGTGCATTATGTACTAGGCTTTCCCCGCCATCTCTGGAGACAGATGAGAAAAAAAAAGGTGTTTTTTCCTCCTCTGTCCCCTCCTGTGTGATCCCTCTTTGGGGCAGTATAGGCCCCCAGACTGGGGGCGGCAGGGGTGGGAGGATGGTCCCTGCCCACCACCACATCTCTGAAGACTGCTTTGGTTGTGACTGAAACCCAATTCAAACTGCCTTAAGCGACAGAAGGAAATTCTGCCTGTGTAACTGAAAACATCCAGAGGCTTGTTCTAGCTTCAAATAAGACTGGGTCTAGGGGCCAAATGACGTCATCAGGATTCACATCACATGGAAGGAACGGGACTCCAGTTTGGGCAGAAGGAGGCTGGAGGTGGCGTGGGGGAGACGATCAAATTCCAGATCCCCGAAATCCTGCTGATGTCCCTTGTCCGAGCCGATGGAGTCAGCACTGCTGGGTGAGCCCAGCCACGGGGGTGTCTGAACCTCAACAGGCAACAGCGGGGCCACAGAGGTCGCCAGGGGCGGGGCCGGGTCCAGCCCAGGTGCGGCTGCGTGGGCGTCTTATCATCTGTGTCTGAGCTCCCGGTGGGGAGTATGTGACCACCACAGGCCCATGGCCACTCCCAGGGGCTCCCAAACTCTGGGGTGTTGAGAATTTCAGCCCCAAGCCCAGCTCCCCAACCCTCTAAGCCAGCGGTTCTCAACCTGTGGGTCGCGACCCCTTTGGCGGTCAAACGACCCTTTCACAGGGGTCGCCTAAGAGCATCCTGCATATCAGATATTTACACAATGATTCATAACAGTAGCAACATGACAGTTATGAAGTAGCAACGAAAATAATTTTATGGTTGGCTCACAACATGAGGAACTGTGTTTAAAGGGCCAGAAGGTTGAGAACCACTGCTCTAAGCAAACCCAGGCGTGTGTGAGTACATGTGCCAGGCACTGTGCTGGGCTCTGCACATCCAGAGCTTGCTTCATGCTGATGTGGCTGTGTGGGCCTGGGGAGGGGAGGTGTTTTGACGGCAGTGCCCACGCTGCCATGCCTTCTCTCCTTGTGGGTGTGTCTGGAACTGGATGGAGGAGAAGCGAGCTGCAGTGGCAAATGCAGGTTCAAATCCCGGCTCTGCCGTTTACAAGCCCCACGACCTTGGCTAAGCCCTTTTGCCTCTTTGAACTCTGTTTCCTTCCACCAGGCAGAGTCTAACTCGGTGGGTTAAGAGGATGAAATGAAGTGATGGGTGTGGAACTGTCTGGCCTATGGTTGATAACTAATAAATGCTGAATGAATGCGTAGGGAGATGGAGTGGGCCAGGCACAGAGCACAGGGGATGTAGGAGAGGCCTGCATCCCCAGGAGGGGCCTCTCCTAGCTCATGACTATCTGGGGGACATTAGCAAGGGATCCAGGAGGCCGAGTCTATTTTCTTTCGGAGGGAAACCCTTTCCCTGTGTCGCTCCCACCATGTCTACCTCAGCAGAACTCACATCCATTCAACCACGAGAGCTCTGGGCAGCCCCGCCTGGGGTTATGGCCTGTGCTGAGCCATGAGAATAGCCGAGAAGCAGTCCCGCCCTCCTGACGCTCTTGGGCGGATGGGCAGGCAGATACGGAATCACTCTGTTGGGTGGGGGGTGGGAGGAGAAATGGGTGCCAAGGCTGGTTTAGAAGATGGAGTATTTGATCCAATACAGCTTGGTGCTTGAGTGGAATCTTGAAGGAAGAGGCAGAAATACCCAGGGAGGGAGGTGGCAGTCAGGGAAGGCTTCCCCGAGGAGGCAGCTGCTGCACTGAACCTTGAAGAACGAAAGCCGTGTTCCAGGCAGGCTTTCTAGGGTGGGGGAGCAGTATGGCGTGGCTTTTGTTCATTTGCTCTGATTGTTCCATCGAGACTGGCCAAGGGACCTGGACGCAGGTTGGACAGGCAGCTTCCAGAATTATTCATGGGGGACTCAGAGCCCAGAGACCACTCCCAGCTCCCCCCACCCCCTTGCACATATGCTCTGGCTTCCCTCACCGCTCCACCCGCCCTTCTGTCTCCTGGGTCCTGCGTGTGTCTCCCCGCCCCGCCCCGGCCTGCTCGGCAGCCTCCTCGAAAGATCGCGTCCTCCAGAGAATGTTTTCTTGCCCTGCCTGTCCCTTTCTGCGAAGTTCAGCACTTTGCAGAGCCCAAGCTTGCCCTCCGCTCAAAGGTGAACGTTCCTGGGAGCCCCAGCCTGTTTTCCACTTCAAACAAAAGGCTGGAGCTCGCACCTCCGTCTCTGCGCTCAGCCAGCCGCGCAGCTTCCAACTTGGCCCGGCATCCGTCCGTAACGAGGAGTGGGCCCGGCCCGCATTTGGAGATGTTCGCTGGAAACTCCGGGCTGCTAATTCAGGCTTCCAGCTCTGTTTCCCACTCTCCCACTGCGAGCACCTCGGCCGCCTGGCTGCCTCGGTTGGAGCCTCAGAGCCTGCCGCCCACCACCTTCTGTCCAGACCAGGCCCCAGGAGGGCAGCCAGACCAGCGAGCCACCTGGTCTCCAGCCATAATATAGCAGGCCCTACTGTGCGCCAGGCTCAGATGAGCACCGTTCCTCACTTTTCTATGACACAGGGGTCCCCGTCCCTGTTTGGTGAGGCCAGGAATCCGAGGTTTGGAGCGGCAGGAACGGACCTGGGGTCGCACAAGGAAGCCTTAGAGTTGACTCGGCTCCTGAGGCCGAATCTCGTGCTGCTCGCCCCGCACGGTCTCCCAGGGAGGCCATGTGTCTGCTCGGGAGCCGGGAGTCTCCGAAGCCAGGCGCCAGGCTCCGGGGTCTGGCCGCACTAAAGCTCTGATTCTGGGAGGCTGTTTACACCAAACATGGAGATGCAGCACATGCCACATTAAATGTAACTGACCTTTAACGGTAACGTGGCGTCGAGCGGCCGTCAGTAGCTCACTTCATGTCAGGTTTCGTGCACACATGCCGGGACTCCCCCCTCTTGCAGGTGGTTTGGAGGACACGGGATAAACTGGCCCACGTCGCCGTGGTAACTGGAGCGTCAGGGGCAGCCTGGTGCAGAAGCTAAAGGATGCGGCCAAGGCTTGGTTGCTCTCATTCTCTTCCTCTGGACTTGGCTTCCTCCATGCTGGCTTTGCTGTCCCATAGGATTTCCCCTCGTGGTGACCAAATGGTGCCCTTCGCTTCAGCCTTACGCGTTCCCTGAGTTTACGGCAGCCTATGTTTTTAGCCATAGCTCGTGCAGGGGTCTCGAGGAATGGCCGGCCCTGCACCAGTCCCAGGAAATCATGTTTTGATCAGCTACGTCTGGGTTTCTTGTTCTAGCCGAGTGGAGGTGGGGGCTCCTGGCTGCAGGGTAGAGAGTGGGGGAGGGATGGACTTCCAGATGATCACGGGAGCCTGTTACATAATTGTAACGGGGGCCAATACAACATGTTCGCTTCACAGATCCGGGGCGTGGCATGGCCGAGGCCAAAGCTTGGGGGAGGCCCTCTCTCCTGTGCTCCCCGCGCACCCGCCCTGCCGTTCTCACCTCCCCTCCTCCTCTCTCCCCCCCGCAGCCCGACGGCACCAGTAAGGAGTGCGTGTTCATCGAGAAGGTCCTGGAGAACAACTACACGGCCCTGATGTCGGCCAAGTACTCCGGCTGGTACGTGGGCTTCACCAAGAAGGGGCGGCCGCGGAAGGGCCCCAAGACCCGGGAGAACCAGCAGGACGTGCACTTCATGAAGCGCTACCCCAAGGGGCAGGCGGAGCTGCAGAAGCCCTTCAAGTACACCACGGTGACCAAGCGGTCACGGCGCATCCGCCCCACAAACCCCGGCTAGAGGCACAGAGGGCTGCACCAGAGGAATATTTTTACATGAAAAAGAAGGAAGAAGCTCTATTTTTGTACATTGTGTTTCAAAGAAGACAAAAACTGAACCAAAACTCTTGTGGTGGTGGGGGAGGAACGGGGGACGATAAGGATTTTATTGTTGACTTGAACCCTCCCCCCCCCCTGCTCCCTCCACCCGATGACAAAGACTCACGTCACGCAAAGGGACTGTTGTCAGCGCACAGGTGCTTGTCTCTCTCAGAACAGACAACTCTAAACGCGTCCCCGGAGGAGGACTTGAATGAGGAAAACGACACTCTGAGAAACCAAAGTCCTTTTTCCCAAAGGTTCTGAAAGCAAAAGAAAAAAAAAGCAAAAAAAAAAAAAATAAATAAAGAAAGAACTCCCTCTGGTTTGCAGTCATTTATTTATTGTCCGCTGCAAGCTGTCCCGAGACACCGCGCAGGGAAGGCGTGCCCCTCGGAATTCTCGGCGCCTCGACCTCCGACGACAGACGGCCTCGTCCAATCACGGTGACCCTGCCTTGCTCGCAGCCTGCAGGATGCTGCTATGGACCTTCCGTGACCCACGTGACCTAGCACACCAATGATAAGGGAATATTTTAAAACCAGCTATATTATATATATTATATATATATAAGCTATTTATTTCACCTCTCTGTATATTGCAGTTTCATGAACCAAGTATTACTGCCTCAACCATTAAAAACAATCGACAAATTATTTAAAAAAACAAACCACGAGGCATTGAGTGGTGGCCGGGGGCAGGGTAGGGCAGGGCAGCCCTCTGTGTTTCGTTCTTCTGGGTCTGTGGTCTTTGCATGGAGAGCTGGGGCCTTGCTCATTCATTCATTCAATTCATTCATTCACTCATTCATTCGTTTACTGATTTATTCAACACCTGCTATGCTCAAATATATTTTATTGCAGCCTTAAACATGGCAGATGGCAATTCCGGCCTTCGGAGAGATTACATTCTTTTTTTTTTTTTTAAATATATTTTATTGAGTTTTTACAGAGAGGAAGGGAGAGAGATAGTTAGAAACATCGATGAGAGAGAAACATCAACCAGCTGCCTCCTGTACACTCCCCACTGGGGATGTGCCCGCAACCAAGATACATGCCCTTGACCGGGATCGAACCTGGGACCTTTCAGTCCGCAGGCCGACGCTCTATCCACTGAGCCAAACCGGTTTCGGCTGGAGAGATTACATTCTGATGAGCCATTGGTTCGATGATTGACTCAATTGTACGTTCACATACAGATGCTCTCACACCATTTACTCAGCATCCCTGATGTGCCAAGGCTGCCTTTGAGGCCCTGGGGATTTATTAAAGAACACAAGAAAATCCCAGCCCTCAGGGAACTTTTACTTATCATAATTCATCGCTTCATTCATTGATCTATGGATTCATTTATCCAATACACTCGTGTATCTCCTAAGTCCTCAGTAAGTGCCAGGCGCTCTTTTAGGTCCTGGGAATTCATCACAGACCCAAACAGACAAAAAATAAAAATCCTGCCTCATGGAGCTTGCAGGGCAGGGATTACTCAGCGAATCATTTGTGGGGTCCACTCCGGCTGAACAAGGCAGGGCGGCCCCGCTCTGCTCCGCCTGGTGGTGGAGGAGTCAGAGGGCAGGTTAGTTGGGGCCTGGTGTTTCCCTCCTTGGACCCTCACGGGCTGGAGCACAAGGAGTCTGTCTGGCCTCGTCGACTCCCAGGGCCTGTTCTAGGTCTCCCCAGGCTGTCCAGGAGCTCAGGGAGAGGCCGGTGAGCAGACTGGGCAGGAGATTGGCTGAGGTGGGTCCTGCTGGGGCCACCTGCCTCCCGGCCAGGAGAGGTCTCCCGTGAAGCCCTGTGCAGAGAGGAGGGGGCAGGACAGGGGGTACGAGTACCTTCTCTGCAGGGGGTTCCTGGCTGTGGGGGGCTTGCCTGCCTCTGAGCTGTGTTCCCTCTGCAGCCCACGCCCGCCTCGCAGCACAGGCGGAGCTCACTGCGGGCTCTGTCCTGACTGCACCGAGTGTCTCTCTTCGTCCCTGGGCCCCGTCCCATGGCTCGCGCATCTCCTCAGGGCTTCAGGTGCACAATCTCCTCGTGACCTCAGGACAGCCTGTGAGGAAGGTTCTGTCATTATCCCGGTTTCATAGACGGGACTGTACTCAGAAACGTTAAGTCGCTTTCCCAAGATGACAGAATGAGAATGTGATGGGGCCAGTATCCAAATCCTAGACTCTCAGGATTCTAGTAGGTACCACTTGGTCAGTGCCTACTGGGTGTCAGCCCCCTGCTGGGTGCCTCACGTGCAAGCCTGGATGCCCACCAGACCTCCCTGTGTGGGATGCAGGGACTCCTGGCCTCCACGCCTGGCAGAGGAACACAGGGGCTCAGAGAGGTCATTGCGGTGCCGTGGCCTCCGTGAGCAGGAGACTGAGCCTGGGACCCTTGGTGATGACAACAGTGATTGTGGTGGTTGTTTATTGAGCACCTAGTATGTTAATTCCATTCACATTCTACTAATTCCATTTAAACAGTAACCCTATGAGATGAGTGTGTGCTCTGTTTGGAAGTTTTGGTGAAGTGAAATGACCTGCCCAAGATAATTCAAGTTGGAAAATCGTGGATCCAGAATTCCATCAATCATTCATTCATTCGTCCAATAAATGTGTTGAGTTTACTCTGTGCCACATGCTGTTCCAGGGGTTGAAGGTACAGCAATGACTTGAGCAGAGCCCCTGCCCTTGTGGTCATACATTTTCTTGGGAAAGAGCAATAATAAACCAAATAGTTATAAAATCTAATGTCAAATAGCAGTCAATCATAAGAATGAGGGGATAGAGGATAATGGGGCTCCTATTTTAGATAGGGTGGTCAGGCAAGGCCTCTGGATGGGGGACCATGCAAACACTGAGGGGAAAAGCATTCCAGGCAGAGGGAACAGAGAGTGCTAAGGCCTGGTGGTCTGTCATGGAATGAGGAGGGGCCAGTGGGGCTGCTGCAGAGTGAACAGGGGCGGGGACGGAGCTTTTGAGGGTCTCGGGGCATGCCCAGAGCTCTTCATCGGAGTGAGATCAGATGCTCCATGTGGTACCCCTTAAAGGGACTGCTCTGGCTACGGTGTGGAGAAGGGCGGGCAGCGTCCAGCCTGGGGCCACCTGGTGTGAGGTCAGACCTGGGCTCTCACCAGGACCCACCGCCCGCCCCCTTCCCCTTGCATCCTCGGGCCTCCTCCGGCCTCCATTCTCTGCCCACACGCTGCCAGCACCTCCCATACCCAACACCTTGCCCTTGCCCCACCAGGGGCCAGGGGCCAGGGGCCCGTCGCCCGTCGTAGTTCCCTTTCCTGCCCCTCTGGACACTCCCTGGCTTTGGAAGACGTGGGACCAGCTTCTGTTCACTGTAGACCGAGCTTTCTGGCCATTTCCCGAGCTATGGGCAGCTTGTGAACGACATCACAGCGGGTTGGCGGGATTCCCCAGCCACGGATGATGGCTTCTTCGGGCACTTGCTTGGGGGAGGAGCCAGTGAGCGTTTCCACGGTCCAGCTGAGGAGGGAACCCCAGTCATCACCCACCACTTTGGGAGCTTGTGCCAAGCACAATCTTATCGAATCCTCCCACCCAGCCTTTGGGGGCGGGCATTTTGGGCCCCACTTTCTAAGGCAGCTCAGAGCAGGGGAGCCACTTGCCTGAGGCCACGCAGCTAGGAACAGAGGAGCTGGGTGTGCACCCGTCTGCCTGTCCCTAGACCTGTGGCTCCCCCTCAGCTGGGATGCTTGGCGCTCTCAGCCTCTTTCCCCTCAGACCCCCGGACCTGCCTCGGTGGCCATCATCTCCTAAGCCACCAGAGGGAGGAGGCAGGGCGTCCCCGTTTCCAGGGGCCTAATGACAGCCCTTTCCCCCTCGGGGTCCTCCCCAGGATGTCCGTGTCGCGAGGGCGTGGGGATCTGGGACTAAGGCCCCTGAAAAATGTTCTCGGCCTGGCCGCTTCGCCAGCTGTGTGACCTCGGGCGCGTCCTGTCTTTCCTGTGCGGCTTGGATTTCTCATCAATCCAACTGTCTGCCTTAGGGGCCGTTCGTTGCTGCTCAAGAGAGACAGCAGAGCAAATAACTGGGGATTATTCCCACCCAGCAGAGCTGGAAGGGACGCACGCGGTGTTTTACCCACTCAGTCTTCTCCCTCCTTCTCCCTTCACCCTCGTCCCTCAAGGGAGGCAGCAACAAGACGCAGAGGGGAGAAGTGCCTTGCTCCGGGCACCCTGTGAGTTAATGCCAGAGCCCGTTAGATGGCCGATGACTAGTGATGACGGCAATATGACCAGGAGGGGATGTGGAAAAGGAGGCACGTTGGGGCTCCTCCAGGGAGCTCAGGGCCAGGGAGCTACTTCAGTGACCAGCCAGGTCCCTCTTAGCATCCTTCCCAAGTCTGCGTCTCCGACCCAAAGAAGCAGAGGGCAGGGAGGAGAGGGCTGAGGTCCCTGTGTCCAGACCCTCACCCTCTGCCCCCCACTCCACAGCGATGCCATGGGACTGAGTGCCAGAAATGAGGAAAGATGGACTCTTGCCCTAGCGTTTCAAGGGGTCCCGCAGGCAAGAATGGGGAGACCGGCCCCTGCATCAGGGAGAGATGTGGGTTTGGGTGGGAGGGGAGGACATGACAACGAGGAGAGGCGGTGTCTGGGGTGCTCCTGCCAAGCAGGTGAGCTGTGGGGACGGCACGGAAAGCCAGGCTTTGTGCAGGAAGCGAGGGAGGTGCCCTCGGGCTGCGTGCCCAGCTGGAGCCTAACAAGGCTGGCCTGGGATGCCCGGGGCTTGAAAGCCCCATAAACGGGCAGAACCCTCCCTCCGCAGCCAGCCAGCCAGCCGCAGGACTGGGCTTCCAGAGAAACAATAGTGAATTAGGTGTGAAAGATGTGAAGGCTGCTCCCCAACCATGCAATTAGGTAGCAGGTCTGTTACAAACATTAGGCGGGGAGTTGGGGACCAGATGGCGGCCGGCTCACCCTGGCAGTCCGGTCCGGGACCGCCTGGCTTCCTGGCGGAGGCTCCCCGCTCTGGCAAGGAGGGCAGGCGGCAGGTAGGCCGGTGTGTGGCCCCCTGCAGAGCAGGCCGGTAATTAACCAGGCATTCCTCCCCTCCCTCGGGTGGCTCCTGACCTAATTAGCACTTGCTAGAGTTTCTGCCCGGCCCCTCTGCTGGTGGAGGGAGCCGCTCCTGCAATGTGACAGCCTCCCCGGCTGACCACTCTGCAGCTGCAGGCCCGTGTCACCCTCTGGGCTGGGCCGAGGTGCCGGCTGATGTTAAGTGTCACAGACTGAAGTCTCATTTGCCCGGCCCACGGGGCTCCTTGTCCTCTGCAGAGCACCGGC